CACTGCTATAAAAAGCTGGGGTCATGAAACTGTTTTCCTTAATAAAATTCACTCCCATTTTTGAAAAATAAACCAAATGAAGTCCTGATCAAAAGCCTCTGTCTGGTTGAGCAAGAGCCCATGTAGTGACAGTGTCCATTCCAGACTCTGGAAACCTCAACTGAAGTCCCCACTTGGCCAGGACACTCACAAAGAGTGCCTTGGGGCTAGTCAGTTTCTTTCAGCCTGGCCTACCTCGCGGGTTTATCGTGATGATAAGGTGGGGAAGAAAAAAATATGAATGCCACCTTGAGCTCATTGAATAAAAAGTGGGGTAGATACATAACAAGTGACAGACATTGAAATTGTGACTTTCTGCATGTAAAACAGGTGCTCTGACAAGTAATTGCACAAAAACTTCCTTAGTAGATAAGCTCAATTATTGCTCCCTCCCGCCCCCTCAGCTTTCCCACAGGTAAATATCTCTTATGGCTGTAACAGAATTCACTGTGGTGCTTTACATGCCATACACAGTCTTTCCTTGCATTGCTATGACTTCTGCTTTGCTTACTCTGATGCACAACAGACATTCTTCCCACATCTTGCAAAAGCTCCTTTCTTTCAGACGGCACCTACCACCATCCTCCAGCCAGCTTGCAAGGAACACCTTCTCCCTTTTTACCTTTCTCATTTTTAAGCTAGCAGCTAATAGGCAAAGAATAAATCACCTGGCAGTTATGCAACAGGATTTGGACAATTTGCTTTACTGCACTTCAACTCCCAGCCTCCCCCAGCTGGCACTGCCGCCAAGAACTGAGCTGTGTGAGGGATTTCAGGAGTGGTAGTCTGAAAAAGTTCACCTTTTGAAGCTCTGATTCCTCCCCCTCTCCAAGATCATCTGGTTCTTGGCCAAGATGCTTCATGTAACATGCCACAAATTAAATTATGAAATCAGTTTTCCCTTCCTCTTGAGTCTCTGGCATTAAAAGTTCCCTGCTGGGTTCTGCATACAGAGAAGGATGGCCTGCAGGAATGCTCCAGAAACTGCATTTGAAAGCTCATCTCTTTCTCTCTCTTTTTCTCTTTTTCTTTTTAATTAAAGAAATTATTGAGGTCATAGCACAGCAAGAAGGCTGATCTAAGGCACATGCTAACACCACAAGGCTGTCTTGGTTCCTTAGCCATAGGAAGCTCATGTGTACAGAAAAGCGTTCTTTTTCAAACAGTGCCCAGTATTAGTGCTTGGTCAATGCTTGAATGTGGGAGGCCAGCAGGGAGGTCCAGGGATACCTAGATAGTGTCAGGAAAGAATCCTACCTAGAGAGCGAGAGCCGCCATCCAGTGTTAGTAATGCTGAACTAGATGGAGCAGAAGATCTCACTAAACATACAGTATTCTGAAGTTGCAGGTGAGGAGCAATTGGAAAGTACTTGCTTCCCCCAAAAAACGAGACTCCCCAGGGAAGCATTCCCAAGTTTGATAGAGGCCCTGGGATACAGGACTTCGGGATTTTTGGCTGGGCTGGGATTTTAGCTTCCAAAGCAGCCTGTTTGTGGTGGGAGCCCCGTAATCTTAAAGAGCTTTGAAGGTGTACAGAATGTTCCCTCTCGCACCATTCATGCAGATACTTTCTGAAGGCACGGGGCTAGTGATAGGAGTAGGTCCTTTCAATTAGGCTTTAACTGCTCGTATTTAAAAGAAGGGCTGGTGTTACACATGGGGGCGGGTGCTTCATTTTCCCTGCTATTACCTGTATAGTAGGAACTATGCAGCTTAATAAATAGTCATTGACTTGACATGAATGCCTCATTATTCCACTTAAGGAAAGTGCCATCAAGATACTTGACAATGCATTGTGTAGCGTTCTGCCTTCAAACCATCCAAATAAAAGCTGGGCTGAGGTGGGAGCGATGAATGCTTATTTAAATAAGTGGGTTAAGCAGACAGCAGATCTGGACCAATAGCCAGGGTAGCTCTCAAGACCTGCACAACTAAACAGTTGTCCCAGGTTGAAGGGGAAGAAAGAAAGAAAGAAAAGAGCTTATACAAAGCCTCCCCCTCCAAAAAATAAAGTTCACAAGGAAGTTGCACATTAAAAAAAAACCTCCAAATTTATGTCAGAGCATAAAAATCCACCTTATGGATAAAAGCAGGTTTGTTTATTTTATAAGAGCAGAAAAGCTTTGTTTGTGACCTAAAGCTTTATAAGAACAAAAAGGAAGCTAAAGACCATTATTTGCCCTTTCTCTCTGTCCATCTCAGTAGTTGACTGTGGCCATAGAGTACGTGGCCTCTTCCTTGCGCTTCTCTTTCTGTTCAGCCTTCTTGGCTCCTCACTTAGAACATTTAAAACATTTAGAATGATGAACTTGATCTACTGAAGCTCGTCAGAAGTGGCAGGTATAACATTCTGGAATGC